TGCGGAGGGTGCCCAGCCCCCTGCGACCCGGAGCAGAGGCTGGGGAAAGCGTTAGCTGCCTTGAAACTCCATGCTTGGTTTTCACGGCGCCCCGGAGCAGGCCAGGCCTTCTTTCCCTCCTCCCACAGCTGCTTGGCTTGCTGGGCGGGCTGAGCCGTGCCAGACAGAGCCCCTGTCCCCTGGAGCTATCCGTGAGTTGGGCAACGCTCAGCTTGCTTCTCCCTCGTTGCCCCCAGGCTCGGACATCATGATGCAGCTGGATGACGTGGTGAGCAGCACCGTCACAGGGCCCCGGGTGGAGGAAGCCATGTACAGGTTTGTGGCTCCCCCCGCCTGGCGGCTACACCAGCAGAACCTTCCCCAAGCCGCAGTAGCCGGATGATGAGCAGGTGCCCCGCTCGGGTCCCTCCACCCTGGCTGAATCCCTCAGCCCAGGAGCCAGGTGCCCCCACGGCGGGCGTTTGGCTCGCCCAGGTCCCCCCGAGTGGGTTGGAGTCGTCTCTGGAGTCTGGTTTTGGTCGCCAGCCGGCCCTGACTGCGTGTTCCTCCTTGGTGGGGGCGGCAGAGAGAGACACTGCCGGGGGCAGTCTGGCCCAGTGGGTAGGCCATGGGGTGAGAATCAACACGCCTGGGTTCTGCGGCCGTCCCACGACATCAGTTGTGGACTCTGTGCCTCGTTCCCCCTCGAACACGAGGCTGGTGCCCAGCCCTAGTTCCCAGCTGAGCTGTGTCCGTCGGGCTCGAAGCCGGGCCAGCGTGACGCCCCCCACGTCATGGGTGCAAACTGAGGCGCGGGGCGGTGGAGTGGCTTGTGCAGGGTGGGGCAGAACCAGGACCCAGCCCCGGCCCACAAGGTCCTGCTGCCTCGGACTCTCCCTTGGGGCCGCCGTGGGGTGGCAGGGGCTGAGCGGACCGGGGGTGTTGCAGGTCGATTCGCTGGCTGGATCGCTGCATCGCTGCCAACAGCAAACCCGCTGAGCAGAGCCTCTTCGCCATCGTCCAGGGCGGGCTGGACCCTGCCCTGCGCACCAAGTGCTTGGAAGGTAACGGACCCGGCTCCCCTCCCCTGGGAGACCGTGGGCAAGTCCCTGCCTCCCTCTGGGCCCCACTTCCCAGCTGGACACAGAATTCTCTCGCTGGCTGGATCGCTGCATCGCTGCCAACAGCAAACCCGCTGAGCAGAGCCTCTTCGCCATCGTCCAGGGCGGGCTGGACCCTGCCCTGCGCACCAAGTGCTTGGAAGGTAACGGACCCGGCTCCCCTCCCCTGGGAGACCGTGGGCAAGTCCCTGCCTCCCTCTGGGCCCCACTTCCCAGCTGGACACAGAATTCTCCCTGTGGCCTCCTTCCTGCCGAGCGCATCCATGCTGCGGGGAGGGGTCCGGTCTGGGGCCGTGGGAGCTCTGCGGAGCCTGACGCCCACAGAGGGGAGCCCCCAGCTGGCTTTGGGGTGGGAGGTGGCGCTGGGCCCGGGAGGGCTAACCCCACGGGACGGGCATGCCCTCGCCCGGGGGAAAAGCTGCACCTGCCCCGTAGCTGTGGAGACCCTGCGGAGGGTGTGGGCGGGAGCGACCCTGCCCGATGCCCTCCCCCCGTAGCTCTGGTTCTGCCCCCAGAGATGACGCGGCGGGACGTGCCCGGCTTCGCCATCGGCGGCCTGAGCGGCGGCGAGGCCAAGGATCAGTTCTGGAGGATGGTGACGCTCAGCACCGACCCCTTGCCCAGCCTGTGGGGGAGCCCAGGGGTTTCAGACACTTGGGGGTAGGGTGGAGACCAAGGGGTTCAGGTGCTTGAGGCCTAGTGTATTAGCTGAAGCCTAAACATGGCAGCCTACTTGCCCACCTCCCTGGGGTAGCGGGAGGGGAGCATGGACCGCTGGCCAAGAGGAGGGTGCCTGGGGCTGGCCCCACCCCGCCCACGTGCCTCGCCCTGCCCTAGCACTGGGGTCCCGGCTCCTCACCCCGGCTGTGCTGGGTGTCTGCTGGGCTGCTCTGAGCCGCCGTCTCCCCCCAGCTACGCCACGGACCTGGTGGTCTGCGTCGCCCTGGGCTGCGACATGTTCGACTGCGTCTTCCCCACCCGCACGGCGGGTGCCTGGGGCTGGCCCCACCCCGCCCACGTGCCTCGCCCTGCCCTAGCACTGGGGTCCCGGCTCCTCACCCCGGCTGTGCTGGGTGTCTGCTGGGCTGCTCTGAGCCGCCGTCTCCCCCCAGCTACGCCACGGACCTGGTGGTCTGCGTCGCCCTGGGCTGCGACATGTTCGACTGCGTCTTCCCCACCCGCACGGCGGTGAGTGGCTGGGGCCGGGGTGCGCCCGCCGCCCCCCC